CCATTGTAGATTATCTTCCAGCGACTCTCCTCATGGGTAAGTTTTCTTATAGTTTGTTATCATTAAAGTATTTCTTTTAATTTTTTTCTTATTCTAGTATTTTAGTATTTCAGGTTTTTTTTCAGTTTAATATTTCAATTTTTTTGGTTTTGTACTAGAAAACTAGAATAAGAAAAAAAATAAAAGAAATCTTAAACTGAAAAATTAAAATTTAATTTTCATTGATTTGATTCATTAAACAATAAAGTATGATATACTTTAAAGTTTCAGTTATTTTTATTTTTTTAATATTTCAGTTTTTTCAGTTTAATTTTTCAATAAAGTATTTCAATTTTATTTTCAGTTTAATTTTTCAATTTTTTTCTGAATTTAATTGATATTTTGGTTTTGTATTTCTTATTTTAATATTTTAAGCGTTCTAGGCTCTTGTTTTTGTTTAGTTGCTAGAATGTCATATTCACCAATTTGATTTAATAATTATTTCAGAGACCCCAAACGAAAAGCCAGCTCTAATGATCCCGGATGGAAATATGGCTTTTGGCCAAATATGAACAACAAAAATCTGGTGGAGTGCACATTATGCCACAAACAAATTAATGGTGGCATAGGACGTTGGATGATGATATTTGATACCTCAAAACATGGAATTAATTATTTTAATGTCCTTTGACTTCTTATTGTGTTAATTATCTTTCTTGGTGTGTTATTTTTTAAGATTGAAGGATATTTGCTTGTTATGTACTCTTTGTTAAGTGACTTTATGTGCTATCTTTAAACATAAATTTGATTTGGTTATGGTATTTTGACATATAAATATATATATTCTTGTTGGGTTAATGTAGATATATATAATGTTAAAAATTTCAATACTAATTATGCTTTGTCGACTAGTCTACGACTAGTCGCCTAGTCCACTAGTCTCCCCGTCACCGACTCGACTCGACTTGTCGACTTGACAACCATGATTTTTAATGAGGAGTAAGTAATCCGCATGAAAAAATATTTAAAGATACACAGAAATAACATTTTGAATGATTGCTTGAATAGAATGAAGCTTATGCTGCTTACACTGTGGGAAGAGTTTGCAACGAACCAAGGGAAGGAAATCACGTCCCTCTTAGAAACTAGGCATTTCCAAATAATTATTGTAAAAAGGGTTGATTTTACTGCCTTTAATGGTAATATATTATTTAGCAAAGTTTATATACATAGAAAAAGAATTATTGAATTAACCGACAATAAGTTGATGTCGATTTCTAACAGGTGTTTCTCTGTTTTCTCGATTTGATGCAATGTTTGAAGTGGACCCTGCTCATACAACATTTGAATCCCTTAAGAAATGGTATGAACATACTCTTATGTTTAGATTAAACAGTAGAAATCACATTCATTTGAATGTAATACTTATAATAACACTTTAATAGGCGAGATGACAGCATAGACCTTTTCAAGAGGTTCATTGGCCTGAAGGCATATAAAGATGCTCTAAATGCACTGCCCAAAGTTAAAACTTTCTGAGGTTTTCCAAGTGAATACCAAGATATGCACCATGGTTGAGCATCATCGAATGACTGAAATTAGATATGTATTACTATTTTCTCGTGTGGATTAAGTTTTAAATTTCACACCAAATTTAGGGCAAAGGAGTTTGGATTACAGTAGATATGAGAACTCTCGATGATGAACCAAATTCCTACATTGGCTATGACTATTGTAATAAAAAAGTTTGTGGACCACGTGGTGAGAAGAAGTGAGAATTCTCGATGATGAAAAGTTTGATGCTTAAAGAGAAAGGAGTATGATCACATGAGGCATTAAATGGTTATGGACACCATGGTCGGTCTAAACATAATATGTGCTAGAAGAAAGCTAAGATGTAAATAATATTTGATAATAAATAATAATAATAATAACAACAACAAAAACAACAACCTTTTTAAGAATATCAACAGTTATTTTAGAGTTAAGTGTTAGCATTGTTTTGATTTAATTTGTCCAAACATTATTGCGGCCATAGTTCGAGTGATGAACTAGGTTTTTCTTTACTTATGTATATACTCTGCGCACACGTACCTGCCGTACGAGGTATATATTACAGAGCGAGAGGGATCCAAATGTAACCATGGGTTTGGGTGTAGCCTACCCTTTTTAGGAAATCCTCGGATCCACATTTTTCCTTTTCAATTTGAATAAAAAAAGTCAAACTGAATTCTGAATATGAAGGGTATGAACAGGTATTTCAACAGTCACTTA